AAAATAGAAATAGTATTATCTGAACAAAGTTAATCTAAAATTGGATGTAGAGCTCAAAAATGTTGAAATATACAGGGTGTTATATTCGAAAAAATTGAGTTTCACTCATTTTTTCATGAGATCAAAGTATCTGCATTTTTTGAAGACCCTGTATGAGGCAAATGAAAATATGACTCGGAGTGAAGATCCTCATAGTATCACTCCATTCTATTTCAAATTTGATCGTTTTAGTGCAAGAGAGTTCGAAATTATCAGCATTTATAAAAGTTCATGTTTGGTAAAAAAAATATCGAAATTAATTTATATCTTCTAAACGGTAATAGATAGGTATAGAAAAATAGAATATGAATTTGTTGACAAAATGATAATGAATCATAATATGATATTATATTCGTGGTGTTCCATTTAAAAAATCAAAGAAGCCGCTACTTTATAGTAGAAGCGACAACGCCGCTTCGTCTAAAATATTTTAGGCGAGTAGGTCATATTGATTTATGCATACTGTGAAATTGTCAGGTTGATCCGTTGAATAGTTTGCCGGAAACGGCTAATTAACGCTCATCATGAAAAGCCCTGTATTTCAGGGATTTCAAAAAGTAAAACCGAATTTGTACAATCTAAACGCGACTCAGGGTTCTCAATATGAAAACAGTTGCAAAATAAGGGCACCTGAGAACAGGAGAAATTGGGTGAAAAACAAAGTTGGCATTATAAATAACAATACAAATAATGAAAATTGTTAGTTGACCAATTCACAAATTCTATTGACCTCAATAATAGGGGAGCCCAAGCGGGGATTTCGGGATTTACTCAAGCTCGGCAGATTAATATACACCAAATATGACCCCATATATAAGGCCGCCTGTGAGGGATAAAGGATCAGATTAATAAAAAAAAATTGATCATTAGACATTCTCGCGCGCGTCAGATTGAGGTAGGGTGAGTTAATTACCTGCTAAAAAGTGTATATTCCAGTAATCTGACAATTTGAGAGTCACGTAGAGAAAGGGGAGGGCAGCAAAGTTGTAAAAAAACGTCATCTCGACATTCTCGAGCGTAGCTAATTTGTTTTTATATTGAAGGAAATAATTCAAGGAAATCGAAAAATATATGATCTAAATAGCAAAAATTCGTCGAGAAAGTTTAATGCGTTCAATGCCTATATTTCCCTGTCTGCGTTTCTAATTCTCTCTCACGTTTTCTCTATCTATTACTCGCTCACTCCGTTCCCTCTCTGGATTCTGTTGCCATGGATCTTGGCGTTGGCAATGCACCCCGATATATCGACGTATCCGCTCACTACAAAAAATTAGGCTCAAAAATTTCGAAGGCGCTTCCAGCTTTGCATGCGTTCACTGGTTGCGATTTTAACCCAGCATTGTACCGACGAGGGAGAAAGAAACCTTTGCAATGCATGATGAATTCAAAAATTTTCCAAGAAGCATTTCTGGATCTGGGATCAAACGAGCATACTGTGGAGGATTCTTTTAACACCATATACAGTGTTTTACTTGCCACTTGTATGGGTTGAAAAAGTTAGACGATGTCAATCAAGCCAGGATTGTCATCTTCAATATGACAAAGTGAAAGACAAATCACAACCCTTCTCCTTGATTGTCCGGAACGGAGTTATTCCAGCAAGTGTTATGCACAAGATTAATTGCATGCTTGTGGAGTAATGCCCATAACGCAAAAATTATTGACCTTTTACCAACAGACTATGGATGGAAAGTTGTCGACGGAAAATTAAAATGATCTGGTTTGCAGAGAAAGATAATTCTACTGATGAAGATGAAGATTAAATATTCGATTGATTAAAAAAATTTAATTTTTTCAAAAAGTATTCTCTTATAAATATAAGTATTCTACTTAAAAAACANTACAACTTTCTAGTTCGAGCTTTTGAGAAGCAGCCTTTGCATTTCAAGCGACATGATTGTGCCAAAACATATTGGTGTCCATTTTAACCCTCAACAAACGTATCGAAGCAGAAATCAGAATTGTCCGACCTGACATTATTTTATCCGGTTCGGAGACATTTATCTTCTCGGAGAAAACCGACGCCTGAGTTTTTGTGGCATTTAATTGAACCTAGTTACTTTCACCCCAATTCGAAATCACTTCCAGGTCCTCATTGAGATATGCAACCTCCTGATGCCGGTAGAGATGTGCCTCCGTAGCCGATGTCCTGGATTCCAAATAGAAAGACGAGACAAGTGTGCTGTCGTCAGCAAAGCAATATATTGGATTCTTGGGTTTTTCCAACACAATATGGAATGGAGACAATATGGAACCCTGGGGAACACTAACGTTGATGGTGAAAGTATTCGAGAGATACTTGCAGGGAACGTTATTTCTCGAAGCTGCAGAGCCATACACAAAAATGATTCAACAAGCCATAGCATCGAAGTTTGGCAAGCAAATCCTCATGGCACACACAGTCAAAGGTCTTAGAAATATCAAGCGCAACAGCTCCTGAATCTCCTTGAAAATGAATGAATATTGTTTCGTTTCCGGCTTCTGAATTGAATTTTGAAAACAGAAAAAGCTATTGATGTTGGGCTTCACAAAAAGCAATTTTATATTCAAACTCAGTTTGTATCTCTGTATCTGAACTAATATTCTGAAACAGAAATATTCATTTGTATGTGATAGATAAACTGGAAAACTACTCAACCGATATTTTTCCACCTCTAGATACTATATTTCATTATGGGAAAAATTGAAGATCCATTCTAATATTGTAATAATCTCATTGGACTCTGTGTCTTCTGTCTGCAATATCGTCATCTAGTTCCATGTGAAGTGGACGTCACCAAGGTAAATTCATACATAATGTACCCGGTACCTATTTTTTCTTGGATCAGGTTTCCTGTGTGTCGACAATCAAATGGGTGGCACACCAGTTTTTTAGACAAAAATTTCTGCAATCATGCCTCAACATGATGGGAGAATCAGTTTTCTCAAATTTTCGTTTTTATCACCCCAAAATTAGTAGAAATTGACTAATTTAGTGTAGGAAACATTCAAAAAATATTTTTTTGTTGTGTTGTGAATTACTTACATCTTCAGGCGCACGGCGTACGCAGTACGCCACTTTCGACACAGTTCAACAAAATCTCAAAAATTATACAGACCAACACATGTAGCTCACTCAGCATAAAATAGTTAAATAAAGTAATGACAGGCAAAAGGTTAGGTGAAAGGTTATTTTCATATGTCACGATGTTGCCAAATTACAAGTAGTTTTAAGCCACTGGCGTACTGTGTACGCCAGAGCGCCTAGCCAAGGGTTAAGATATGCAATCTCCTGATGTCGGTGAAGATGTGTCTCCGAGGCCGATGTCCTGGAGTGTGCTGTCGTCAGCAAAGCATTATATTGGAGTCTTGGGTTTTTCCAATAAGTCATTGATATACGATAAAAAGAGGGTTGGAGACAATATGGAACCCTGGGGAACACCAGCGTTGATGGTGTTCCCCCGAGAAATACTTGCAGGGAACGTTCTTTCTCGTAGCTGCAGAGCCATACATATCGAAGTGGCCATTGAAAAATCAAGCGCAACAGCTCCTGAATCTCCATGAAAATGAATGACTATTGTTTCGTTTTCGGCTTCCGAATTGAATTTTGAAAACAAAAAAAGCTATTGATGTTATGCTTTCCAAAAAAAGAGATATTTATTTGTATGTGATAGATAAACCGGAAAACTACTCAACCGAATCCAAATATTTTTCCACCTCTAGATACTATATTTCATTATGGGAAAAATTGAAGATCCATTCTGAAGTTGCAATAATATCATTGGACTCTGTGTCTTCTGTCTGCAATATCGTCATCTGGTTCAATGTGGAGTGGACGTCACCAAGGTAAATTTATACATAATGTGCCCGGTACCAATTTTTTCTTGGATCGGGT